TTACCCAGCTAGCTACAAAGGGATATATTTCTTCTTGTTTCAAGTAATCGCTTGCTCGTGTAACATTGGAGTGAGCCATGCCGGCTAAAACTAGACAGAGCCGTTTTTTGCCGGATCACGACAGTTCAGGTTCACTTAACACGTTGGAGACCGCGCATGTTTTACGTTTTGCGGCCGCGTGGGACTTCAGTAAGATTTTTAGGAATCTTATCAAGCAAATTGGAAGAAAAACCTACTGTATGATGCAGAAGAAACCTTATCGAATAAAATGGAAAAGAAAATGAAAGAAAAACCTAATATTTGTTTCCGAAATGTGAGCTGAAAGGTCCTATGCGGTCGACGGACTGCAGCCCACATATGGGCTGCATGGGCTCCAAGGTGTTAAGTAAGAAGCCACTTACAGCCTTTGTGACTAAGCCTCAGAGAGGGGAAGGGATTCTTGGAGGAATGTGAGCAATTTGTGTTTTCCCTGGCGTTTCTCCCCTTTACTGGGCTTAGTCCTAGTGTCACCTACCATCGGCCCTGTTTTGAATGTCCCCCCCCCCTAAGGACATGAGCGCCTTCAGCGTTACGTTTGATTATTCCAGATTGTCAGTCTATTGACGTCATTGTGGGCTGGGGTGACGGCTGCCGACGGAATACTTGTTCCTCCTACAGAATACTCTGAAATGCCTCCATCAAGCTGGCATTCATTTGCAAAAGTCAACTCGTCAATTTCTGGTGTGGTGTTGACTCCATTTCAAATCAAATATAACTATCTGTAAGTTATTAAACATTTATGAAAAGAAGACCACTATTTGCAAGAGATCTCCTAAGGGATTAGTGCTTCTATTCTTCAACACCCCCAGATCGAATTTGTGCTGTCACTGAGGTTGAAATGAATTTGTGGATGCCGAATTGACTAAAAATGAAAAAGAAGCAAAGAAAACCGTCGATGAAGCCCAAAACAAAAATTCCCTTGAAAAAGAAAGGGGCGGGGCCGGACGAGTTGTACGAACTTGCCTGCTCCGCGCGTATTTGAATTAGCCGCTACGCCGTAATCCACGTTGCGTGTCATGGGGTGTGCGCGACGTAACTCGTCCAAATGCTAAGATTAGTCGCCAAATGCTGACTTTGTAAGACCCTAGCGCCATTGTCGCGCACTTTCGAGCCGCGACAACGGCACATCTGTGCTACTCGTGGCTACTTATCCCACCCACTGAATAGATTCTTCGACACCACTTCTGCTGGGAGCGCTGCTTTGAAATCGGTGAGGATTTGATCAACTGCCAGAATCATTTTCAGGCGTTATAACTCGATGCTCGATATAGCTCAGTGGGACACCGCACAGCGAGCAACAGCGATTTCTGAAGTGACTATTGCGGCCAGCGCTCTGCTACGAGCTGCTGCTGATCATGTAGTGTTGGATGCCGACACCAAGTCGAAACTGCAGATCGATAAGGGAATTTGTGAGTGTATCTTTCTTACTATGTGCTATGCAGTCGGCTGATTCCCTTATTTGTTCCTCCGTCCATCGCGGAATTCGAAATTGCCTAAATAACCGTCTCGAGAAATGGCCGGGTCAAGTTTGCATGAATGAGGTACGGCTAAGAGGGAATGGGTAATTTATTTATTATATACTCATGTGAGTGCCACTGATTGTTGAGCACCAGACTAAAGCCATAAGCAAATTTGAAAGAAAAGTAAGTAAAAGTAAAGGTATAAGCCAAGCTGAAAGGTATAGGTATATAGGCTCAGGTTCCGAAGTTCAGAAGTCCGCGTTGACAAGATCGTTAGCCATCGGGTTTTGCCCATGGCGAGTCGAGACATACCTCCATTTTATGTGGGGGTCGTGGGGGGAGGGGGTATCAATTGGATGTGAGCAGGGCTTGTCTAGGAGAGAGAGAACATTGGCTTCTTGGAACGCATACTTGGACTTGTTTGAATCGATCGCGCCTGTGCCCTCTGTCCACATAGTTGGACTATTGTATAGGTTTCCCACAGTTTTCAAACGCCACTCACGCGTTGTGATTGTTCACCATATATGTATGTTAGTTACTCAGCCGCTGTGCAGAGCCGCTCCATACCAAACTCCATCCCTCTTGCATAGTTCGAGTTAATCTCAGGCGATTGATCAACGGCAATTGCTTTATCCTTTATCCGTGATTAAGGCCAAGCTGAGGAGGGACTGTCGACAGCTTATCGTGCTCTAGTGTCTTTTATACTGGTAAACGGACTTCGAAAATAGAATTAAGTTTAGAATACACTATAATTGTGCGTCTGAGATCATTTTCTTTGTGGAAACTGAAGCCTAAATTATTCTCAATTTATATAATTAAGTTACATCCAATCGATTTTGTGACAAAAATAGATAATTTTAGGGACAATTTTATAAATTGGTGCGATGCTACTTTGCAAGAGCGCATAAACGCTAAAGCAGTGGAAGGATGAATGATCTTACATTATCACGCCATGTCTACTCCACACAGAGTGACGTCTCACGCTGACTGTACTAAAGGTTAGGGCTGACGTTGAGCTTGCGTCGCGCTTCTCGATTCTGGTAAGGCGATGTTTCACGTGATGCGCCACGAGAGTAGACGAGCGTACGCTGTGACCGTATCGTAGCGTGCACTGCTCACACGCGTGGCACATTTTAGTCTGTTAAAGGCACGACTCCGCGATTAGTGCCGTCGCGAGTGCTCACCTCTTCCATCTTCAGTGCGATTGGCGTGGGTATGTACTGTTCATGTTGATCTAAGTCGATCAGTTGTTAATAATGAGGCGTTTGGCTGGGCGATTCGCGCGAGATCCCGGGGATAATCGCCCTAGGAAGTTTGCCTTGCGAAGGTAGTTATGCACGGCGGGATGACAGCTGTTGTTGTGGCGAGACCAGATCAGGGAGTCGCCTAGGCGTATCTTGCGCTTGAAAGTGCGCTCAAAGGCTCAAGCAGCTTCGTCTGACACTGCAATCAACCTTCGCATCGCCAGAGCCTCCCCCTCCGCTGCTGGCGCAGTTGTCGTTCGTTGGCGCTGCTTGAAAAGCGCGGGCGCATTTGAGGCAGCGGTCCCACCGCGACTCCTGTGTCAATGACACTGGAGCAACTAGAGTTAGGCCTCGCGAAACTCGTCCAACGCGCCTTTTCTCCATTCCAAGGTGGAATGTTGCCGAAATAGGGGAGGGTTTTGTACGGGGGACGTTAATATCGCTGTGGATCGAGCCCCTTTTAAGCACTCTCCTACTCTTCATCGATTATCATGACAGATCGTTTTTTTAGACAACCTATTTATCCCGAATTTTGCCTTTTAATTCCTTCCCATAAAAATACTCAATGATGTCATGCGCTCGTTCATTTGCTCTTTAACGCTCGGTCTTGCTAGCGCGCGCCTCATACGTTGCTGCGCTGCTCACCTCACTCTAAGTAGCATTCAAGGCCACAGACGGGAACGTAGATGCTACGGAATCGCTCTGCATTCGCGAAGTCTGACGACAGAACGAAATGAAAGCGAAAAGAGTATAGTAATCGAACGCCGTCAACAATGAGAGACGTCGTTGGGATAGTTGTCCTTTTCATGTGTTTGCTCTTGCATTATTTATGGCAGAATATAGTTTAATAAGAGCTTCCTTTGACCGTGTGGGCACTGACTTCGCATAAACATGATTTGCGAATATGACATTTTTGACTTCAACAGCATCCAGAGGGTTGAGTAAGATCTTGCGGACAACATCTCGGCGAGTTTGCTTTCATCGTTTAGACCAAAGATTGGTTTGAATTCATTTCACGATTATCCATCCAAATCGTGCTATTACTGCATTCGAGACCTGTCGAGATAGCTCTTTGGTTGACTAGAACATTTTATCACAAATCAAAACGCGGTATTGAGGATACCGGTGATTTGCGTACGGAAGTCGAAAAATGGTCTACCTAGCGATTTGAAAGCTGAATTGATTTAGTTCTTTCTTCTGATTCTCAAAATTTTCTCGGCTCTTGATGACCTCCTTACCGTTCCATTATAATCTATGTCTTGGCTGTTCCATTTCGTGCCGAACGCTTGCATTCACGAGAGCCATTGAGGGGTAAGGGTGTGCAAGTATGAGAACTTTATAAGCTTTTTCGTTTTCAGGTATCCAACCTTTTCGAGTGCTTCTTTGATTCTCCTGATTGGTTTTCTTGCGACTACATCAATAAAATCACTGGAAAGAGAGTCAAAGATCCGTTCTGTTAGTTTTTTTCCATGTTTTGTTTAACAACCGTTTCAACACAGTTCCTTATATTTTACATGTAGTTTCGTCTGGGATACTTTGATTGGAAGTAAACTCCAACTCTCTTCGTAGAGCCTCGGCGTTGTTGTAAATATGATGTTATTTTTCTGCCAACGAGGATGTTAGGGGAGACCCAGACTTTTCGACTAGATCGCCTTCCTCAAAGGTCAAAACGTGGTTCAATGTTTGAGATGTGTCTTTTAAACCCTTCCAAAACCCGAACGCCTCTTCTCAGCGTTCTGACGGAACGTTAAGAGGAACAAGCGAAAAACCCCGAATGAAGGAAATGAGAATGGAGCGTTCATAGTTGGCGATCTTACGTGCAATCAGGTGGTTAGGCGATCAGGCGATAGGCGATTAGGCGGGAAGACACATACGTATTGATTGTTTGCTCCGCCCATAGAGCGTTGTAGGCGAGTAGGCGAGTAGGCGATTAGGCGATTAGGCGATCGCTCGATGGGCGGAGCAAATCAATACGTATCCTTCTCTTATCGCCTACTCGCCTACTCGCCTTTTCGCTCATCGCCTGATCGCACGTGCGGTCGCCAACTATGAACGCTCCAGAATGGGGGAAATGGCAGAAGAATAACATCATAATTGATTGGAAGTATTTCCTCTACACATCTAGATGATGTGTAGAGGAAACGCTTCCAATTAATTGGGGGCGCAATCCACAATTGGACGTGCGAATGTTGCGAATAAGCTGAAATGGAGAAGGGGCGTAGAAAATGCGAAACGGGACGTCGATGTCAGAGGATGCTCTTGAAGCGACTTATCGGACGCCTGACCTGTCCACATCGCTGGTCCGTCCGCCCTCCGTGGTAGTATCGCATGATTTACGTCGTCTCTCTGATCTCATGCTCTCTCGTCGTGGGAGATTTCTTTTTCTCTTTGGAGCCCGTTATCCCTCATCTTGCTCTATCATATTCTTCTCCACAAACAAAGGTGACTGTGTATAATACCATGGAAAGTTGAGTTGGAAGGAAATGGGGGGGGGGTGTGGTTGAACTAGGACAGAAAGCGGCTTTCTCGTGTTCGCGCGCGAAACATTTTTCGCTGCAGGAACTCCAGGTCCACTCATGATCAGCGGTGGACCTGAGGTTCCTGCAGCGAAAATGTTTCGCGCTGCGAAACGCGAAAAAGTTGCTTTCTGTCCTTGTGAACCACACCCATGAAATGGTGCCCCGGTGGCGTAACTGGTAGCGCACTTGCCCGGAAAGCAAGAGGTGCGGGTTCGAGTCCCGCCTGGGGCGAAAGTTTTGTTCACAACCCAGCATTCTTGTGAAACATTCGCAAGGCGAACTGCGGCCAAAAACAGCAGTTAACAATCAAAAACAAGTCAAAGATGACTATATTTTTGCGTTTTCGACGTTTTCTCCTCATTTATTCTCATTAGCGGTCCTCTTCGCGCTCCTTCTTTTATTATCGAGCGCTTGAACCCAATCAATTTGATCCTGGAGTGTGCCTTTGAGTTCATCCCCCTCAAGATTGAACAACGTTCGTAGGTATCACTTTGAGTTCCGTGGGTAAAATGATGCACCAGGGTAGAAGTTCTATTACATTTAGCTCACGTCAGCACTCATTAAGTCCTA